CATTTATAGGTAAAGTTGATCCAGGGAATATCCAATTTCCTCTCAGGGGATCAGGAAGCATTTTTTTTTTCCCCTGCAGGAGCAAATTAGGTCATGCTTTGCTGGGTTTTTTTTTCCTTCCTCTGAATCAACTGTGGGTGTAGAATTATAACTCTATTTTATGGTTGCACTGGATGGACTTTTGTCTTTTTTTAGCCAGACTAACTATGTAGCTATGTAACACACAGAATATAATAGTCAAATGGCAGCGAACACCACATTAACCAGAGGAGTCTGGCTTCCATGTGAAGACACTTTCTTCGAACACTAACACACAGGTGCAAAGGCTTAATAATACCTAGGTTCAGGGCGAATAGTCAGGTACCCGAGCAACAATAAAAGTTAGAAAAAAATAAGTTGGTAGTACATATACCCATGTACAAAAATATACAATACGAAGTTTAATATTTCTTTCTTTGCATAAAAACATATATCATATGGGAACCTACCACTACAAGGAAAAAAGCAGGATAAGGCTGACAAAAGTTTAAAATAATTTCACAATGTGGAAAGAGAAAATCTGCTGATTCTAAGAAGCACACAAAAATATGAGGGTCTATAAATAGTTCCTTTCTCCCCATTTCTTCCATTCCCAACAAGATATAGTCTATGTTCCACTATAACCCTTCACTATCATAATTACTCAAACATTCAATCAAAAACGTTATTTCAATAATTGACCATAGAGGGATCAGACATTGGGCTTACAAGCTTAGTTCTCTCCTTTTATCTTTCCCATACTGGATAAGCCAAACAGGACCTACAGCTTGGTTACTGTTAAAACTGTGACAGAATAACCTGGGACAGAGACTTTTGTAGGCCATTGCAGGCTAGCCTCTTGCCTACTGACTATGGACCTTGGCATTTGAGGGGGCTCTATTCTTTAGGAGGTGTGCACCTGGGGGACCTTTGGAATAGTTTTACTTTGGATTCAAGTCTACGGCTCCCCGAAACACACAGACTCTGAGAACTGGAGGACCCAGATACATATATGGGGCTTCAGAGTTTTGTTAAAAAAGAGGCTCTCTGCCTCCTTTGAGTCTCCTAGACTCAAAGACTCACAGCAGAAGATTATAATCGGTTCAAAACAACCGGGAGCTGTGGTCTCCTGCTATTATGTGTAATCTGTTTATTAAGGTGTTAAGTGTTTACTGTTATAATGTGTACCTGTGTTTTCCTATCCTATCTTGGTGTGAAGTGTCTTTCCCCCATTGTGTAATTTTCCCCTTGTGTGCCTCCTAGGTGTGACTTCCCATTGTTAATTGAGTAATCTATTGCTTATGTCTGTTTGCTAATCATCCTTGGGACTCCTACAGGATGTAATTAATCTTGTGTCAACTTGATCTCATTGTCTAAGCATTGTGCAATGTTTACCTCTGTGTTATATTTGTTTTTATTGTTCATGTGGTGACTGCCCCTATTTTTGAAGGGTATTAAAACCAGTATTTTTGTTCAATAAAGTTATTCCTTTTGTTTTACCTCAACATCCTGTCTGTGTATGATGCTTGGGGTAAAGGGCTGGTATTAGCTATCGGTCTACTGGAAGAGTTTAGAGGGCAAGAGGCACTGTTTGGCAGAAGCACCCTTTCGGGGTGCCAGGTGGTTCATCACAGAAACAATAAATAATGTGAGAATACATAGAAATAAAATACATACAATATATGTTTTATAACTTTGATCCCAGGACTGGCTTATGAGTATCTATCTAATTTTCTTTCAACATATACATGGATTAAAAAAGGGAAATCTGAGTTCCAATATGGGAAGTCAGGTAATAAATGCCCCTTATTTTATGTTATTCTGGTCTTACAATTCATTCTCATTTTTGTTTAGTCAATTATCTTTAAAAAAGGACCTGCTTATTCCTTATAGAAAGACTTCACGTTTATTGTTTGTTAAACTTTGGATATTTTCTTGCTTTTAGGAGATAAATCCATCTACTTTCAACTTTAAGATTCCACTGATCTCAATATCTTTCTCAGAGGTTTGCCTATATCCTTTCCAAAGCCGTAAATTGCATCATAGATGTGTCAAAGTCATCTATCAGACATGTATGTTTGCTAATGTGAGTAGATGAATATGATCATTGATATATTTGCTAAATTCTCTCTTTGTTTTTCTTTTATGGAGCACTCCACAATTACACTGCAGCAAATAAACTATACCCTGTGTGATCCAGGTTACCTGATGTTTTAGATAGAAAATGTTGCCATTTGGTAGCCTGATTTCCATCTCTTTTAAGTATTCATGGATAATGTTTGCTAAGTCTTTATCTTGATGTGCCTCATTTTGGCAAAGTTCCATCTTCTCGTAGGGCCTTAACAGTTACTATGAAAAAGTTTGTCATGAAATTATGTTGTTCATTTAAAAACAATTTCAGGGTCAATATAACTATAGAGGTTATGGCAACAAGGGATCAAAACAAACAAAAATCCCTTACTCTGCATAGTGCACAGTGCAGTAAACACTCCTTAAAATAGATAGAAAGGTATTCACATATAACATTCCATCACAAATCACAAAACAAATTCAGGATTTTTATTTTATATATATTTATTCACATAATTCTTAATAAAATTGTCTTTGGTTAAGAGATACCAATATTTCTGTACAATATTAAGAAAACCATAATTTTGTTTAGAGTATTTTACAATAACTCTTGTTGTGGCCTTTTTATTCTTTTTCCTCAAATCAAACAAGATAATTTCTCTAATTTTCCTTTGGACGTTTCAGTATGCTTTTTCAATTATTTTTTAGTGTAACCCCTTGCTAATAACCTTTCACTCAATGCCTTAGATTGAGAATCAGAATTTAATTTGTCAGAACAGTTTCTCAGCATCTGGAGGTATTGACTGTACAGAATGCTCTGTATCAATGGATGGGGATGAGCATACAAAATCATGATGTTAACAAAATCATGTTACTATCCCTATTATGGACTTGAAACTCCTTCATTTTTCTTTGTATACAAAGAGCTGGTCAAGGTATTTATTCAATTTGCCTTCTCTTTATCCCCACTCACCAACTCTTTATGTTGTAAAGAGCCTACAGGCCTAACCTATTTACTAGTAATACATTTAAAGAATTTGGGGGGCTTTGTCTTACTCTTTGTAAGTGCTGTTCACTTTGTGGCCTTGATTTCTTACATAGTTTGTTACATTCTTTGTAACTTTCAAATGATGATAATGTTCCTTTGTGTTAATATTTTTACTTTGAGTGTGAGCCACATAGGTTTTACTGTTAGCCTTTTAAACTTATTGCCAATGGCAGTATACAGTATTTTTCAGTGTGTTTGCACACAGTGAATATGAAACATTCCCATTTCTATTCTGTTTTTTTTTTATGACAATATTACCACCCAAACTAAGTCCTGAAAAGCAGCCCTCAGCCCTGTGAAAATTTGATCTCTTAAAGTTAAGTGTTTCTATCTTTGCAGTATATGCTTGTTGCTTACAGCTTACATTAAATAAATCATGTTGTGGCCACTGATACACAAGCCTTTTATATGACCATTAGCAATAAACTCCACATGTTAGATGAATAGGCTCAACAGAGAATCATTTATAGTTAGTGCTTCTATAAATTTGTGATGGAACGCTTGGTACCCAGCTTGTGACTTCCATCAGAGAGCCACTTCCTCGTCACTGAGTCACAGGACCAAGGTATTATAACTGGGCATTGCACCCAAGAGTAGGCAACACTAACTTGATGCAAACTGGAACTACTTTATTGAACAGAAATAGTTTTTATACACTCCAGAAATAGGGGCAGTGGCCCCACATGAATAATGAAACAAATGTTACATCCCACACTGATTAGTTAATGAGGTGAAGCTGACATCAGTCTAATTTCATCATGTAAGAGCCTCCAAGAGGACTTGCCAACAGACCCACAATAGGTGTCTCATTTAACAATGGGAACATACACAATTACAATTAACAATGGGAACATACACCTAGGAGGCACACAATGGGAGAAGATAGTAAACACATAACACCTTAATAAACACATTAGAGCAAGAGTCCTCACATCAGGTCATTTTGCTCATTACATCAACTTCTTCTAGCCTGGGAAGCAAGTGGTTGAAGCAGTCAATGCTAGTTTTGGCACAGAGACCCCAAAACTGTATGTTGGTCCTCCAGTTCTCAGAGTCTGTGTTTTGGGGAGACATGGACTTGAATCCAAAGAAAACTACTCCAAAGGTCCCCCACAGGCACACATTAAAGAATAGAGACCCCTCAGATGCCAGGACCATCATCAGTAGGCAAGAGGCTAGCCTGCAGTCCCCTCCAAAAGCCCCTGTCTTGGTTGGGTCTGTCATAAAATTGTACCATAAAATTGTCTTGTAAAAGGTTTATATATTTTCTGCTTTAAGGCTTCATGCACATTTGGCATTTAGGCCCGATGCATCTGGCATTTAGCTGTGTTTAGGATACAGGCATACCATACAGTTCCCATTATTTGGCAGCCTGTTAAACTTTATGAGAGTCTGACAGCTGGTGAAGCTGGATGGGGCTAGGCAGTGCACCTAGTAGTCAGTACATTTAGGGCAGTGTGCTTCCAGTAATGAATGCTTGGAACACAAGCAGGATGCTGGCAGCAGGGTTGGAAAGTAAAACCTGTGCACTCCAGCCACAGCTACATGTTGGAGTCGTATCATGGCTAAATGCCCAGTGTGCATGAGGCCTTAATCAGTGGTGTATTTTGATTTTGTGCTGCCCCAGGCAAAACTAAAATAGGGCACCCCCCCATATAAATTTGTTCCACCCCTTTCTGTTTAAAATCCACCCTTCATCTGTAATCTCCACCCTTTCTTTTTTAGGCTCCACCTCAGGAGGTGGTCAGAGACTGCGGACCTAGTACAGGAGATGGTCAGAGACTGCGGACCTAGTACAGGAGATGGTTAGAGACTGCAGACATAGTACAGGAGATGATCAGAGACTGCATATATAATACAGGAGATGGTCAGAGATTGCAGCTATAATACAGGAGATGGTCAGCGACTGCAAACATAATACAGGAGATGGTCAGAGACTGCAGACCTACTATAGGAGATGGTCAGAGACTGAAGACATGCTATACAAGATGTTCAGAGACTGCAGACCTAGTACAGTAGATGGTCAGATATTGTAGAAATAATACAGGAGATGGTCAGAGACTGCAGACCTACTATAGAAAATGATCAAAGACTATGGACCTACTACAGGAGATGGTCAGAGACTGCAGACTTACTATAGGAGATGGTCAGAGACTGCGGACCTACTACAGGAGACAATTAGAGACTGTGGACAAGAAACAAGAGGCAGTCAGAGACTGCAGACAGGATACAGGAGATGGTCAGAGACTGCGGGCATTCTACAGGAGACAATCAGAAACTGCGGACAGGATACAGGAGGGGGTCAGAGACTGTAAACATACTACAGGACATGGTCAGAGACTACAGACAGGATACTGGAGAATATCAGAGACTGTGGGCATAGTACAAGAGACGATCAGAGACTGCGAACATACTACAGGAGACAGTCGGTCACTGCGGACATACTACAGGAGACAGTCAGTGACTGCAGACATACTACAGAAGACAATCAGAGACTACAGACATAGTACAGGAGACGGTCAGAGACTGCGGACATGATACAGGAGAAAGTCAGAAACTGTGGACAGGATACAGGAGACAGTCAGAGACTGCAGACATACTACAGGAGATGATCAGAGACTGCTCACAAGATGCAGAAGAAGGTCAGAGACTGCAAACCTAGTACAGGAGAAGGTCAGAGACTGCAGACATAGTACAGAAGAGGATTAGAGAATGCGAACATAGTACAGGAGATGTCAGAGACTGTGGACATACTACAGGAGATGGTCAGAGGCTGCGAACATACTACAGGAGACAGTCAGAGACTGCAGACATACTACAGGAGACAATCAGAGACTGCAGATATACTACAGGAGAAAATCAGAGACTGTAGACATAGTACAGGAGATGGTCAGAGAATGCAGACAGGATACAGGAAAAGGTCAAAAACTGCAGACAGAATACAGTAGTCTGTGGACAGGAGCCTGTGCACAGGATACAGGAGCTTGTGCACAGGATACAGGAGATGATCAGCCAAGCCCACCCGAGCATGAACAAGCCCTGCCAGGGCTGCCTCCCCCGCCCAAGCACTACTGAGCCCACCTCCCAGCTCAAGCACTGCCAAGGCCCGCCTCCCCCACCCACACATTACCAACGCCGCCTTCCTCGCCTGAACACTGCCAAGGCTGCCACCCCTGCCCGAGCACTGCCTCCCCGCTCCCCTGCTGAGCCCTTCCTCTTGCCTGAGCCCTGGTCCCTTCTGCCTGGGGGTAGCGCCACCCCCCTGAAAAATGCCACCCAAGGCAAATGCCTTGCTTGCCTCATGGCAGATATGCCCCTGGTCTTAATGTTCAAGCAGTGCAATTTCAGGGTAGTTAAAATCTTACATTATTACCACTGCCGCAGTACTGGCCTCCATTTCTCTCTGTGCAGTGAGCTGAGTCTCTACCTACTCATTAACACTGGAGGAGCCTAAAAGAAACTCCACTAAATAACGCTTGAAGAACACACAACCATATGCAGCATTTTAATATCAGCTCTCACATAGAGACAGTCAGTTGTTTTGTTTTACCCTTGTTTGTCATGCACCAAAGCTTCCAACTCTCTTATTTTGCTTAGCAGACTTCTGGTATTAGTGAACAAACATTATAGTCCATTGTTGCATTTTGCATTTGTATTTTCCATATCTTTTTTTAGTAAAAATAGTACTGCAACTGCCCATGTTTGTTTGTAACATGGGACTCTCCTTATCACCTGACATAGTCCCTCCCCATCTTCCCCCTTTTCCTCCTCCATTAGTGAAAATCCTTCCATTGAGGTGCAAGCCATCGTTAGCATATAGGTTTCACCCCAATAAAAGGCAACATACAATGTAGGATGAGGCCATTTAAATTAGGATAGATGCATATGGCGATAAATAGATTGTTTTGTTTACACACAAACACTTTGGGAATTCCAGGAGCATCTTAAATTGCTAACAACCTACCAAACTAGGAGGACCCTCTTGAGAACATTACCTCTCCCGCATGTAAATTTATTAAGGTAAAATTCATATAACGTCTCTATTATGTATATAATACTACCCACCAAATACTAAGTGCTATATCACAAACTGTATTTTTTCAGAGATGTTTCACGGTTTGTTGTTTGGAGAAATTGTTGCTTAGTAGTAGTTTATACAATACAGTTTGTGATATAGCACTTAGTATTTGGTGGGTAGTATTATATACATAATAGAGACGTTATATGAATATTGGCACTTTCAAGGGTGAAAGTTTTCTGTCTATTATGCGGTAAAGGGATTTAGTTTTTAGGGTTAGGAGAAACCGTATTTACGATTATAGTATTATTAAGGTAAAAGACCTCCTTTAAAATAGCACAGATTAAGATGTAAACTTCATGGCTGGAAAGATACACATATATATTGTGTTATCATAAGCTGCAGTCACTGTAGGTTTCTCTGTTGTTCTCCCTCTGCAAGCTGGTTGCCGGAGCTTGGGCATTCCAAGTGAGAACTGCATTTTATTATATGTATGTGTTTTTTATACACATTTTACTATACATTCCAGTGTGTTATATCTGTTGGCATACTGCATTACGAACCACACGTTTGTTGCTATTGTTTATTTTCAAGTACTCATTATAACTTTGGCAGAAATACTCAGCATATTTCCTGAGAAAGGAAATTGACTGCTGTCAATCGCAGCCAATGAGGAGGGATTGGGGGTGGAGCCAAGCCCCGTTCTTTGTGTCTTATGGACACACAGAGCAAGGCTCGAGAACAAGCATGCACAAGTGCCCCTATAGCAAGCAGCTTCCTCTGGGGGCACTCATCAGGGAGGAGGAGCCCAGAGCGTCGGTGGGAGACCCAAGAAGAGGAGGATCAGGACTGCTCTGTGCAAAACCCTTGCAAAGAGCATGTAAGTATAACATGTTTGCTATTACAAAACTAAATTAAACTTTTAATATCACTTTAATATCTGGTTGAATTTTTAACCATAATTTAGAAAATTAAAATTATATATATTTTTAACTAAATTTATGTTATCACCAATAGCACCTGAAAAGTCCCTTTTTTAGAGCAATAGTTTTCTTTATATATTGTGGTTTCTATGTCCCCAGATATAATATGACAGTTGCCTGATTTAAGTGTCTAAATAGTGGTGGGGTGATAAACCCATTGCTGTCAGCTGCTCCTGGTCAGCTTCTCTCAGAAGGAAAAAGCTGTACCAGTCTCTAATGTTTCCCCTGAGATAAATAAACAGAACTGACAGCATCTTTTGTATCTCTCTTCTTCCCCTTACTCTTTGCTGCTTTAGAATAAATACAAACTGTCACCCAAGCTTAGCATTCATGATTTTGCTGTGCTGGCTGTCACAGGTGCTGGGCAGTGGCTGGATTGGAAATGCATGCTTAACAGCCTTCTAATACCTATAGAAACAAGAACAGTTTAATAAAGCCCTAATTAAAATTAGGGATGAGAATTAGGGAATAAGAATTAGGGAATAACCTGTTTTCTTCAAGAACCTCAAGACCTGATCGGGTCTTGAGGTTTTTTTGCATGGAAGCTTTTTTATTAAGGAGCATCTTGGTCACTTCTGATGGATGGAAGGAATGAAGGAGTGAAGGAAGCTATCACAGATCTTATAATTTTGGGCACGTCTTTGCCATATTTCTGGTGAGTGCATAGGGGTGAAGGTCCCACGGAAGAGGTGTCACTACTGGATTATTGTCATTGATTTTTATTATCAACAGTTAATTGACTTTATTATTTATTAGACACTGCACTTTTTCACTCTTTGGTGTTTATTGATGTATGTTACTACTAACACTGTATACCTCATGGTTTTTAGTGTGATTATGTGATTCACTTGTATTTTGTGATTGAGAATTGCTATACACAATTTATATGTAGCATTTTAGCGCTGCACAATTTGTTGTTTATTTTTTCACCTTTTAGCAGCTTTTTTGGTCACCTTTTAGCAGCTTTTTATGTCTCCAAGCGCTCACTACACTCTGTTTCTATTTAGAATATGTTATTTGGCATTCATAACTTTGAATAATTTAAAATACATTCTTATTGCTGGAAGTTTTACAAGTGTAATCTCACTGCGCATAATACACTTGTAAACTATACTAATTATTCAAGACTGCAAATCATAGATTGTCACTTACTGTGGGAAACGTAGATAAAGGTAGAACTGTAGTGAAGTCCCACTTTACTCACCTTGTTCAGCAGTGGGTGCAGACTCCTTTAACTCTTTTTACAACAATACCTAGGGCTACCACAATCCTCTGGGCTTTCACAATTTCCTTGATTTCTACCTTCAGCAGACCACGCATGATGAGACAGCAGCGACTGGGCATGAGATCAATCACCAGGTGTCTGGTCTTCCATGGGTTTAGCCGGCATGCAGGCAGCTGTTTTGGGGCATAATAGCACACAGCTTCAGGAGGAGACCCAGTCACCGCAGGCAGAATTGTCTATTGAGTACTGAGGTAAAGTGGGGTGGTCCTGCACCTACTGTACAACCATTTATTTGGGTTTCCAGTGTATCAAGACCAGAAACACATCCTGCCACTTGCCTGTGGAGCAGGGACAGAGATCCCTCCGGCAGCCTTCTTGGACTATCAGATGCAGTCCACCTCCTTGTGAAAGAGGTGTAGTTCCAAGGAAAACACGAGTAGCAATTTGTACTTTACTGGTTTGGCCTATTGACTTTGTGATTCCTCTCTATATACTGTTCTTATAGAGTTTCTCAGAGCTGTGCTATACTGTTACCCAATGCCATTACTGAGTTATAGAGAAATTGCTTTTAGGAGCTTCTGGTTGCATAGTTACCTATTCTATTTAACATGGTTTTAAACTGCATACATAATCATTGCATACTATTTGCCTTTCTGGCCCTGTTTGTATGGTTAATCTTATTCTTTATTTATTAAGTAAATTCTAAGTTACAGACCACTGCTTGTCTGTTCTGTTTCCTCACCCTTACTGAACTGTGTAGAGGCTATGGGCATTCAAATATTTATATATCCTAACAAGCAGCAAATATTCTTTAAACAAGCCATCGCTGACCTCTGTAGGTGCAGCCACTCTGAACAAATCAAATTCACAAGCAGTGCAGTAAAAATCTCCGTACTTTGTTCTTACCTCACTGCCCAATCTGCAGCCTGAGGGCCACTTGCAGCACTTGTTGTGTGGCCCTTAACTCCAGAAGTCTGTATGGGAAGTGGGAGCATTGATTTGCAAGGGAATAATAACAATGATCTGTTGTCTTATATTAATTATCCAGGAAATGAACTTT